CCTCCCTCCCTCCCTCCCTCCCTCCTTCCCTCCTTCCCTCCTTCCTTCCCTCCTTCTTTCACCAGATTTCTAGAACACAACTGCAGGTGTCTCCTGCTGACACAGACAAGTTTATTTAGAGCAGGGCAGTCTGTTACACGCTCAGGTTATGCCTACAGGCTGCTCTGCCCCAGTGCAGACACGAGTCCGTTTGCACCCTTCCCTTGCCTGCTGGCAGCTTCGCTCTGCTTCTTACTTCTCAGGAAAGCCGGGGGTGACTCCAGCCCCGCAGAGCACAGGGGAGCAGCCCCTCAGGGACACGCAGGCTGCCCAGGACGAGCAGGGTCCATGTAAGAGGTGCCCTGGCCGGCAGGTCTCACCGAGCACCCACCCGACACTTCCAAGCACGCTGTGACATCCTAGAGTCTGCTCAGCACCTGCTGTAGGCCAAGCGCAAAGGATTGGGCTAGGCCACTATTGGGGACAGTAGAGAGGAGCCCCGTGGAGCTCCCCAGCACTGTGTGAATTTTGTGTGAATTTTGTGTGGTTGAAAGCAGCTCCGACGTGCAGGACGTGCTCAAGTTCCAGAGGGAGCCTCCCCAGCTACTGTCTCTTCCCCGCAGCTGTGCTTGAGGAAATGGAACCACAGGGAGGCTTGAACAACGTTCTCTCTCCGCGACGTGGTCGGCCCAAACTCGCCAGCAGTGCAAAGCGAAATACGGCCCCGCTAATGCAGAGGAGGGGTAGGGGTTGCCTTAACTTGCGATGCACCCGTGACACATCTCCCAGCAGGTCCTTTGGGAATCTCGACCCCTTCCTTAGGCTCACTCCTTCAGAAGACAGACATCAGTCCCGATGGTGCTCCATGGAGTTGGTGTCCTCAGCCCCAAACTCCTTGGACTGTGGGCGCTCTCCTCTCTGCGAGACTTGTGAGCCCCTCTTCTACTGCTGTGACAGTTGTTCTCCTTCTTTAACTTCTCTTTGGAGCATCAGCCATCGAAACATCCCTCGAAAGCCCCTAGTCTGCTCACCACGCGTGTACCATGAACTGCCGTCCTGCTTGACGTGGAACAGCTGATCTGTTCTCCAGCTAACCCGGACTCTAATACCTAGCAAACATAAAAAGCTGCTGACCACAGGGAAAAGCACAAACATCCGTGACCACAGTGGCTGGGCTGCACTAGGTTTGATGTTGAGTGGCACTTACAGAGCTCTGCTGAGGTTAACAGCTGGTGCCCCCACTGAAGACCACAGTTACACACGATCTCTCTCTGCAGTCTGTCACACATCACCGTGTTGTGTGTTGAATTTTCAATTCAATTCAATGTATGAATTATATCTTCAATATAGATATTTGTTTCTAACACTGCTCACCTACAAACATGCTGGAGTGCAGAGAACACTCTGGCCAAGCAAGGAAACGAACAGGTGGGTCAGACTTGTATTTACATTTCAATGGATCCCCCTGCCTGATAAAAGCTGCGTTTGGCTCGGGAGAAGGACCCCCAACCTCCATGGAAGCGCTAGGGCCCGTTGGCCGGTTTTGCTTTGAAGAGGCAGCCCACGTGGGTCCCTGTGGCTTGAGAACTGCCGCGAGGCCAGCGGGCTCCGAGGTGCTCCCGGGGAGCCCGTCGTGGGGGACTGAAGCCCAACCACCCCAGCAGCAATGCGCTGCATGCGGCGGCCTGCTCTGTGCATCAGCCCAGCCACTGCCATCAACAAAAGCCCTTCTTAATTGTATTGGCCCTTTATATGTGCAGCGTTATCCGACGCCGCTTCCCTGGCAAACGAGGAGATCTTTCAATACCACCCTCCAAGTAATTTATATGTAAATAATAAAAAGCGGGTCCCAACACCGCTCCCTGCAGCACTCACCAATTAATCTCCTCTTAGCTTTTTACTGCCACCCTTTGTTTCCTGCCCTTTAGCCAATTTCCAGCAGACGGTGCCAACTTTCCACTTACTCTATGGCTTCATATCTCTCATACTAATAACCTGTGATGCAGAACAGTTTCTCAGATGTTTTCTGAGAAATCAAAGTGCTCATGCAAGACCATCTATGATATTTTAATTCTCTCAGAGACACAATCCTGAAGGAGTTCCAGCTATTAAAGAGTGATGTTTGCTTCCTGAAAGCACCTTGAGTCCCCCTGAGCAAATGGTGCTTTGTGAAGTGTTTGCCTTGCTTGTTCCTCTCGACATCGTAATTCCTACAGATTTCTCCAGAAGGCAGATGTGAATCTAAAATGTTTTCCCTTGACATATTTGTGAAGTTGTCAGAAAGATTTCACTAACACATATGAAAGGGGCAAAATTCTCTGTGGTCGCTTTAGCATCGTCGACTTTGATGACTGACTTTGTGTTTATCACTGGCAAAGGCCAAATTCTGCTGTGAGGGCCACGCTTCTTCCCCCAAATGGCTGAACTGCTGTTTGAAAAATTTCAGGACGAAATTTTGCTTTTCATATGCAACAAGAAGACCCTTGCCGAGTTTTGAAAGGCAGAATTTCCTGCTGAAAGCTTTCAAATGAACTGTTCCATTATGAAAAATAAATATTTAATTCCATGCCAGAGAGCCTCAGCCACGGCTTTGCCTGCTTTGTGCTATTCCAGTTCATTATAAAAGGCTCAATTCTCTAGAGCTCACCAACCTGCAGAAGTCCTCCAAATCTGGTCTCGTAACAGCTGAGCCACTCAATCCTGATTACATTTGTCAGTCTTGGCTACATGACTTCTCCTCCCATAGCCTGGCACCCTGTCAAAGTACAATTTTATACTATTCTCAGATTACTTCTAGCCCTCTTTGTGGATGTAGCCACGGAGATGCTTACCGCCCCTTCAGATACGTTTTTTACAGTGGCACAGATTGGCAGAGTTCTGTTCTGCTGGAAGGAAACTACTCCGAAAACTCACCACACTGCCCAACCTGGGGAAGGACACTGTAATTACGGCACAGAAGTGGGAGCCAGAGGACTTGGACTTGCTCTCCGTCACGATTTGCTGTGCAGCCTAATTTCCTGTGCCTCCCCTTTCCCAGGTCTGGAATCCAGACATTGTGCTTCCTTGTGCTTTATACAAACAATTCAAAATCCAGTGCTACAGAAGGGCCAAATGTGACGGCTGCTTGACACTGCTGTGCTCGCTTCCAGGCTTTCCAGATGGCAGGATAAAGACATTGCTCCTTCCTCCGGGTTTCTGTGCAAGGTGCACTGCCCACACGGGGACAGAGCACGGGAGAGAAGAAAATGGGAGGAAAAGCTCTGGGATCTCCCTGGGAGGAGAGGTGGTTAGGAAAGGGAGGTGCCAGGGAAAGCAAGTTGGAGCATTATGTTACTGCCTAATAAAATCCAGGTTTGTCAGAGCCAAGGTCTCTAAATTGAGGTGGCTGGTCCTCTGTCTTTCCTGCTCCTGCTCTATTACATTTCTGCTAGATTGAGCTGTGAAAGGAATATGGAAACAAAGCCATTTTTTTTGTTTCCCTTTTATGAAGCAGTTAAGAGATCCTGCAACGTGGACAGCATACGAAGGGGATGCCATATTCCCGAACTTGAGCAAATGCACACGAATGAGAAAAGCCCACGAGAAGCTTTGGTTTATACACACAGACAAATCCTGCAGCAGCAACTGGCAGGGATGATACTGCTGAGACACTGTGTGGCAACTATTAACCACCCCAGAAACACGGGGTCTCAGCATGCCAGGAAGAAAAATAAATAGGCAGAATTGCACCATTACACTGGCACGAGGCAAATCCATCATGGTGATGAGGGCAGAGCTGCTGATTGCCTGGCTAAGGAGGACAGGAGCAGGTCCCAAGTGAGGGGTACCAAGCAATTAGAGAGGGGAGAGTGAAGCTACCAGACTGACAGCAAGGCAAGCGAAGGCAAGGGCTGTGCCTGGGTCCCCTCCATCTCTCTGAGACAGAATCTCTCGGCACCTCCCCCCTCTTCTTCCTTTTCAAATAGAGTCTCACAGACATCCTAGCAAGCTCAGTTTAGTAAGTTGGTGTCTTCCCAGCTGTGTTACATCATTTGTGTATTTGCAGTCTCACACTGCCGTGAGCAAGCAGGCAAACTCCAGGCCAGATCCCACGGTTAACACACGGTTCAAGCATGGTTTAAAAAAGCACCAGAAAGCCAGCGAAACTCGTGGCATCTGGCAAAGTCTCACCTGAAGGAGTTTTGCCTTTTCATGCTCAAAAAGGCTGGTTTGCTCCCGCTTAGTATTTTATGGAAAATCTGTGTAATCCATTCCTTAATGTAGGAATAGGAATATAATTAGGAAGAGTGAGGTTTGCATGTTTCTTCTTGATATACAAGTGTGCTCAAACTCCTCTAACAAACCTTTATATCCTGGGCCTGCCCTGATGGACAGCTCTCTTATGAAATGCTAAGTCTTTGGTGTTCCAACACTGAATATGTTTGGAGCAAGGCAAGTCACAATGATGGAGGGATTTAAAACAATAGTTGCCAAACAGGTGAGTAGCAGTGTCACTGCCACAAATATAAATACTGTGCGATCCTCTCTGTTACCATTTCATTCCCAAATGTTATCATTTGGGAATCCATAGTGCTTTTTCTGTCATTATTTGCATATTACATAAGATCATCATGCAGATTTACAAAGTGGGTCTGGAAGGGAAGGGGTAGCCAGGTGGAAGCACCAAGCTCTCTTCCAACAGGCTCTGGGGGTTTGCCTAGTTAGCAGCTGATCTGCTGTCCTCTGTCTAGCATAGGGTTCACACTACCATGGAAGAAATCCAACACGACATCTAGTTCTCCCTGACTTTAGGTTCATGTCAGCTTCTGTGAGGGCCGCGTGACCCAGGTTTAAAAGCAAACGGGAGCACATGGAGGTGAGGAGGGAGCAGCATCTGCCATGCTGGACGTGGCTGCAGGATAACTGGACACAAGTGGAAAAGGGGTACCTGGTATCGAGCAGCAGGAGGAACTTGAGCCATGAAGTGCAGAGAGTGAAAAGGCATCACTGCCCTGAGAGGGGCGGGGAGAAACCAGAAGTAGGGCACATGACAAGGCAGTTTATAACATTCCTGATCCCACTATACTAATAACTTTCAGCTTCTGTGTTACAGAAACCTTTGGAAAGGGTGGCAGGTTTTTTGGATCAGGCCAGAATATGGTTGGAGTTGCATTCAGGATGAAAGAAAAAGGACAGTGACTGCATTTTTTTTCCCACTTCCACAAGGAGATAGCTGAAGCTGGACTGTTTTACCTCAGGAGAAGAGGACAGGAAAGGTTTGATGTAGATATTGGAGTCATGCACCTTCAGGTCATGGTCTCCCAGTCCTCGGGTCACCCCAATTGTTGCCATGACCCGAGCCTGGAAACAAAGAAAAACAGTGGGATCAAATACGGCTCCATGCATTATGCCAACAGGAAAAGAGAAAGAACAATCCCATTCTGTAATTATTATTGTTGGGGATATATTACCTTTCTTTTCTCCCAGAAACCCTGGAGTTAACAAAGCTAGCTAACTTTTAGCACTCACATCTCCATTTCTGTGGTTATTATAAGCTTTGCATTTGTCCACACCCCAGACAGTCCCCGCTCCACTTACACTGTGACCCTCCTAAAAGGCTAAAAAGGCCTGACCCAGTCCCCTGGCCGTCCCAGACCAGTACCTTATGCTACCAATATGAAACAATGAAATAAAGAGGTTAATAAAAAAAGCAAAAAAAAAAAAAAAAAAGATGAGGAGCTTAATTAGATAATTTGTTCAAGAAACCTGTGGCCTCTTCCTATATATATTGCCACATACTCGCTCCACCAAGGGAATACCAAAGGCCCCGCAGGAGCACGGAGAGGAGGCTGCCCCTGTGTCAGTGGATCCCATAAAGAGCAGGAACTACGTGGCACTGACAAAAGCAGCTCTGCCGCGACCTCAGAGCCACCATGTCCTTTCGGAGCGTCCTTCTCTGCGGCACTAGCAGCTTCCCCAGAGCTGCCAGGTGCTTCTTCACTGACACATCCCCAAGGAGCCACCAGGCAGACTGCCTCGCAGGGACCCCAGCTCTCTGTGCATCATTCCCCGAAATTCGAGTGCAGCTTCCAACCAGGACAGCTCATTGCACCAACAGCAGGGAGTGAATGACCCAAAATTATATTGCCTCACTAAATCTTAGCTCCATAAGGCAATAAGAAAGTAAATTAAAAAGACGTCCATGAAACATTTTGGAAATAATTATAAACCTAACCAAATTTAGAGATAAGCTGCAGGTTTGAACCTTCAAAACTGAGGCCGATTTTGAAGAGCGCGTGTTTCTGCATTAAGATAAGACCCTAATGCAGCAGGGGCTCACAATTTAGAAGCACAGCAAGCACAGCAGCATCTGCAAACTGACACCGCCGTGTCCTTATATTGATCCTACTGCTGCATCCAGCTAAGCCTGCTGGGATCAGCACTAATAATCTCCCTTTCTTAATCATGGAGCTGGAGACAAAGTGCACCCAAATGCAATGGTTCTTTCATTTCTTTTAAGAAAAGCTATCAACATTCACATCAAAAGATTCAACAGCAAGTTCATGCACCCTAGCTGAAGAAGATATGCTGGAGGGGTATGATACCTCCCAAACCTCACCCTGATCCTGCTCCTTCCTAGTGATTTTTTCTTTTTTAATCTCATCTCAGATCTTTGTGATGAATTGTTATAAGATACCTTCCTGCTGTGCTCAGCAATCGCAAGCGTACATTCACCCAGCCTTAGTTATATTTTATAATCAAACTAGGAACGTTTTGGATCACTTACTGGTCCTGTTGGTCCTGTCATACTCTAACCCTCTACAGTGAAACCAAACCCACAGCAGCCTCAACTGTGAGTGACTACGTTGCCTACAGAACTGCTTTTTAATGTCTCGAGCTCCTCTCCTCCCCCACCTACCCCAGCCATGAGGCTGATTCATGACAGACACAAGATACTCTTTCAAGCTGTCAAAACGATAAAATAAGGAGATACTCAGTGGAAAACACTGGCATGCTACAGGCTAAAGCGAGTGGTAAACAGCTCAGAAATCTTCCTTGCTTTGGTCTGTGGAAAGCAAACGTGCCCACCTTCTTGCCTTCTCCATATATAAGAGGAAACTTCAAGTCGTCTTCTTCAATGGTTTTGTACGCCCTGTGGGGGGAATAAACAACACTTATAAAGCTTGCACTCAATTAGTGACCCAGGGCCCTGAAACAAGTGCATTTTTTTTAATCGTTATTTTTCCTAAGGACTCTGCTGTTGAGCCGAGACATCAGTTCCTTCATCTGCAGATTTTTTCCCTAAAGATTTGTGCCATTTGGCCAAAGGAAAATTGACCATCAAGAAGTACCCAACACACCAGGCTGCTCTGCTTTCCTATAAGAAAGCAGAGGTGAATTGGAATAACATCCTCACAGGGGAGATATTGCTGGCCGTGGTAGCAGCTCTGCCATAATGCAGTGCCGTAAGTCCCCTCCCAGTGACTGAACTCATGTTAATCCGCAGCGGGGAAGGACAAGTGACCCCGAGCACAGCCCAAGGGCGCAGCAGCTCTCAGAGCCTCTTCCCACCTCCCCAATCCAACTGATGGGGTGAGAAGGGGAGCGATGCTGCCAGCGAGGGGAAAAATAGACGCCTGTCACTCTCCTAGATGCACAGATCCTTTGGTTCGGTGCAGCATGCACCCAAGGGACCCAAGGGCTGGGAACGCTCTGGGCTGCAGCACGTCACCCAGAGCAGGCCAAGCTCCTGGGACGGCACTCGGTCACGTTCGCGTTAAGGCGGTGACACAAACCAGCAGGAAATTAAAAATTGAGGGTGAAATCCTATATCGTAACTCAAGTCCCCCTCCCCGCCGCTTCCCTGAAGTACGGCGTAGGCCTGGGATCAATCAGGGTGTTGTTTTACACGGTTATATAGGCTGCATCCTCCAGGCACCACATGGTGAGCCCCAGCCTTGAGGGCAATGCACAGATGGCAAATTCAAGCCCCACCTTTACACGTCCTAGCAATCACAGGTATGTCTGGAGGTAGGAGAGGGAAGGAAATAACCCCAAATCCCCAATGAAACAGCAGTGAGGGGCTCTACACCTCCTGTTCTGCAAAGCACTGAATGTGTGAAGCCCCAAGGAGGGACCAGGGCAGGTTTCCAAAGAGGCAATGGATACTTCTCAGGAGACCACATGGTCGAGAACATTTTCTACACAGATTTCACAGATTTGGCAAATACATTTTGGGGATCTCTACAAGAAACAAGAAGGAGAAGGCACTTAAATGGCATTTTTGTAGCAGGGGAAAGGACAACAGGTCAGTTTTAACAAAAGAGGAGAGGAGAGGAGAGGAGAGGAGAGGAGAGGAGAGGAGAGG